CACTAATGTTAAAGATTTTTAAGTATTCATAATTTATCTTTCTGTTGATTGAATCAGTCAAAAAGCTTTTGGCTTTACAATCCAATTTTCACAAACTCATTTGTGAAACCACACAAGAGATACTTAACTTCTTCATCGCTCTCTATTCCTTCTTCATAAACCGATTCGTCACTTACGACTGATTCAGTACTTGAACACGAAGGTACAGACATCTGAGACTGATCCGACTCGAGACTTCTCTTCTTCTTTCTCTTGTGGTTAGCCTTGAAACAAGCTTGTCTCAACCTCTTTGTCTTGTCTTCAAACTCTAAATCCGGCGACTCTTCGATCGTCCTCTTCTCTTCCTCCAGCTTCTCTAACGCTTTCTTCAGTTTTCCTGCATTCTCTTCTCCTCCCATCTTCTGCAACTCCTATTCACATGATTAAAAAAAAAAAAACCAAACTCACATTTTAGTTTCACTTTTCTAAACACACAATAAATACAAAAATGTAGCGACTTGTTCCACATACCTTTACGTTACTAATCAGAGTTTGTAGGCTCATGAGTTTACGATGAGGCCATCGACGAATACCCAATTCGCGACATCTTCTTTTGAGAAGAGTTAAACCAACGTTAAGCTCCATTGTAGCCTGAGTTATTGGCATGTAGAAGTATCGAGAGATAGTTTCCATGGACAATGCCTTTGAAGCTGTGTATGTAGTAACATCGCTGATGATTCTCACGCTATGTTCTCTTCGTCTCTCGTTGATTTTCCTCTTCTTACTCGTCTCTTGCTCTGCTCCATGGTCATGGTCATGGTCAGTCTTCTTCTCCAAATCACCATCTCCTCTGTTTTGCTCTGTTCCGTTCCACGATGCAGAGCTGTATGAATCGAGTACATCTACAAAGACAAAGCAAGACCCATGAGACCTCTACGTACGTATATATGTATAACAAGTAACAACTATGTACTACCTTGAGACAAGGGTTCAATATCAGGTAAAGGCAGAGAATTTGTAGTCAAAAGAAAAGCTTGAGAGGCAGAGTTGTTGTAGAGAGGAAGAAACTCTTCTTCCCATTCAAATGGAGGATAAGTTAACGAGCTGCATAAAATAGAGAATATACACATATAAGAGATTAGAATATAAGAAAAAACAAATTAAAGTAACACAAAAGCTAATGAAGTAACCTTTGATCAAAAGATGGTGAATGAGTAAGAAATGAGAATGGTTTCTCTTCTTTGGGTTTTTGATTATGATCAGCAGCCATTGTAGATAGGTAGAGAAAGAGAGAGAGGTTGTGTTGTAGAGCTCGATGAGGGAGAAACTATTTATATAC